TCTCACCCCAAAACTTTTGTAGACGCAGTTGTGTGAGCAAAACCAACTGAGCTGCTGCTTGATGGACCAGCTCTCCATTAAAAACTGCTGCCTGGTGAAATATAAACTCACTGTGAGGCTGCATTGATTTTCTCCTGTTTTTATTGGAAATTAGATACTATTTAAATAGCGCAGGAACATTTCCTTTTAACAGTTCTATATAACACCTAAAGATAGCCTGTGTTATGTTGGTTTACAGTGTCCCTTCTTTACCAAATGTAAATAATTAAACGAAAAAAATCACCCTTTTCAGTTATCATAACTGTTCAGCGCTTTCCACCCCCCACCACCTTTTTCCATTATAAGTATAAAATACCTATAGCTCTTAGCTTAACTAGAAATACTTGGCTTCCCTTCTGCCCTGGCTCCCCAGTGAAGAATTGCAGCTGTGTTAATTATCCCCTGGGAATTCCATCCTGGTGCCACATCCTCTTCCTAAGGTGAAGGGGAGTACTACCAATTATTTAACCCCTCAGAAATGCACCCGTGAAATGTCACCCTGAGTGCCAGCCTGGAAAACCATCTCAGACTGACCCTCTGTCATGTGGCTTCCTTACAGTATGAGGCGAGCTGATGGCATTTGCTAATTAGCAGCTCACCCCTTGCATCTGCCAATGAGGAGATTGAGTTATTTTTAGAAGCCACCCTTGAGGTTGTCGGTTTGTAGGCTGTAAGGTTGTGGTTTTTTTTTTTTTTTCCCCCTTCACCTTAATATATTAGAGCCTTTTTCTTTGGCAAAGGATGGCACTGAGCATCTCTGCTGGCCACGGTGCCTGCACTGCCCTGGGCTCCAAAAGGTTCTTGGTGAGTACCACACATGGGCACAGACACAAAATTTTCAGCTTGATTGGCCTTAGATTTGGTGATGTAGGGGTCTCAAGTTCCTCCCTGATTTTTTTCTCTTGTTACCCCTTTCTGTTAGAAGACATACGGCTGAATTTCTGGGTAGTAATGGTTTGAGAATTGTGTCCAAGAGAGTTTAACTCAATGTGAGCAATGCAAGGGCTGGTCCCTCCCTGCACAAAAGCTGGTTTTACAGCACAACATCTATTTTTTAGTGCCCACCTCAAACTTTGATGGCCCAAGGCGACAATCTAAGCGCATGTCTGCGTACAGGAGCTATAATACCCAACAGCACTGCTTGAGTTACACCTGGGAGGGCTTAGGAGCAGAGAAGCAGCCGGTGATGAAGGACATGCTGAAAAGAATCCTGCACAACAAACCCTCTTCTAAAAAGCAGGGACAGCTTTCTTTTGTGAAGGTTGTGTAAAAAGGAGAAGGACAAGAGAGCAGCTGTCCTGGAGGACTCACCCAGGAGATGCCACCAACCTTGAAACCATCTCTCAGAACACAAACCCAGGAGGCAGCTCTCAAGAGCGTAAAAAAAAAAAAATTATTCCTGCAATTAAAGTTTTAAACTCACTGGGTTCAGCAAGGGATTGGACTCTGCCAGCTGTTTAATGGCACCAGGGCTGGGTCTGGTGGAAAAAAAGAAGAAAAGAGACACATGAAATAATGTCATCCTGTATAACAGGGTGGGATGCAAAGACTTAGAAAATACCCTGTTTGACTGAAGCAGCTC